CCCGCCCCCATCCTCCTGCGCTCCCCTGGTCCCCTCCCCTGGTCCCCATCCTCCTGCCTGGTTCCCCTCCCCCCCGGTCTCCATCCTCCTGTCCTCCCGCCGGTCCTCTGCCACCTCCTCACCTGGTCCTCCAGGGTCTTGTTTTCCTGGTTGGCCACCGGGATGGCGAACCCATCCTCCCAGTGAAGCTCCTCCAGGAACTCGCTGCTCATGACGGAGGGACCGGCGAGGTCGCCGCCAGCAGCAAAGCAGCAGGGCGGTCGGCCTTCGAGTCCCTAGCAACAGCCCGGCGCCCTTAGTTACCAAGCAGGAAACGCTCAGACCGGAGGGCGGAACTTCCTTTGAGAATTTCCCGCTTCCGCCCGAGGCGGGTTTCTGGAGCCCGAGAGAAGCTTCCGGCCTAGGACGGCGGGGCGCAGCGTTCCTTCTGGGATGGGGACGTCCCGGCACTTCCGGGCTTGTAAGTCTTCCGGGGTTCGGGCCCAGCGTGCGTCACTCCGCCCAGGGAAGCCTGCAGGCATGTTCTAGGGACACGAGTCCCGTGAAGACCCTGTGGGGAGATGGTGCGCAAGGTGACCGGTCCTCAGGGGTCCGCAGCACCGGGGACGCTGCAGAAACACGGCCTTGCTCGGCCCGAGGCCGGCCTGCAGTTCACTGCGGACGCGGGCTGGCCTCTTCTCCCGCATGGCCTCCCAGTGCCGGGATGACAGCGACCCAGCTTAGTCAGGCACCGCGACGTTTGGGCAGGACGTTTGGCCGGAAACTCCGAGAAGACTAAAGCCGTCCAGCCAAGCCGCTCTTCACTGCTAACCCACAGAAGTGGCATGAACTGAAACGCATTTCCTTGCCTTAAACCACCCAGTTTTAGAGCAGTTCGTTATGCAGAAAGCAATTTTAGGAAACCTGAGCCCAGTGACAGCCCCGTCCGAGCTTCTTCAGAGGCTGCGGCAGGAGGATCACAAGTTCTAGACCTGCCTGGGCTGTGGAGTTTAAAGCCATTCTGGACTAGTGATACCTCGTCTCCAAAAGTAAATAGACGACTGAGGTATGGCCAGTGGTAGCCTAGCATGCACAGGGCCCTGGGTTCAGGCTCAGCACGTGTGAGCACCTTCACCCAGGGTCCTTTTTACATTTTGGTGCTTTTATGACAGAGTTACCCTAAAATTTATACCTGTGCAGTAGACTGCTTGCCTAACATGTGCAAAACCCTGAGTTTGATGCCCAGTATTCTAAAACAAAACCAAAAACTTCAGAAAGACTGCCCACCCACCTCCAGGTGTTGTGGTGAGGCACACCTGTATTCCAAGCACACAGGAGGCTGAGTCAGGAGGATCACAAGTTGGAGGCCAGACTGGGCTACAGAGTAAAATCCTGTATCACAGGCAGAACAGACCATTAAATACAACTCACACCAGCTTCTCTGTTTCCTGTGGACCTGGCATCGAAGCACTCTGCACTGAATGTGCGTCCCTGAGTTTAGACCGCCTCCCAGGCTCTGGCCTAGTTTTCTTGTTTCAAAATAGAGAAATAGGTATAGTACTTTGAAGAAACAAACCTCAACATACTTCAGAGGGCTTATCCTCACAGGCGTGTCCAACCTTCTCACACTGTGACATAGTGCTGCCATGTGCAAAGTCCATGTTCAAGAACCTTGCGATCAAGTTACAAAAAACAAGTTGGGAAAAAAACTCATGATCCAAATAAGTTTATGATTTTCTGTTGACCAGAATTCATAGCTATCTTTGGCTACATGTGACACACAGGTTGGGGTTGGACACATAGAAACATCTCTGGAGATGGTCTTCCTTAGCTCACTAAACTCAAAGCTTTCATCTGTTGAACGCCAGTGTCTACCTCCCTTTGGCCAGTGATAGCCACAGTTGTGCTCCTGGGCTGGTGGACAGCTCCACCCACCAGAACCTGTTCTCTGAACATAGCTTAGGCCCAGTCAGAGTCCTTCAGGAGCAAAAATGTATAGGAAGTAGAAGCTAAGGAAAGGAACTGAGGAAATTATCTTCCAAAATAATTAAAAAACTTTGTCCTCATCCTCTTTGTTCTTGGGGTCCCTGAATTTGAAATTTTAATTTCCTTCTCCAGTAGGGGATCGGCTTATGGCTCAAAGGTCTCATGCATGGTAGGCAAGCAGTCTGCCACTGAACTACAGCCCCAGGCCAGCAGTCCTTCAGATGAAAAGAATCAATGTGGACTTAGTGACACACACACGTAATCCACCTACTTGAAAGGCTGAGGCAGAGGGGTTGGGAGTTCAAGGCTTGGCCTGTAGGACAGTGAATCCAAGGCCAGACTGTGCAACCTAGTGAGAGCTTGTCTGAAAATGTAAAAATAGGGCTGGGCACCACAGCGCAGTGGTATAGCACTTTCCTAGCATGCAGGAGGCCCTAGGTTCAATCCCCAGGACCACACATGGGTGCACATGGGCACATGTGTAACACTACTGTGTTACAGAGACCCTGTACTCCAAATGTGGATAAACTGCAATCGAGGCAATTTTAGACAAAGCACAGGAGGAAAACTTCTTCTTAAAGCCTTTGCTTTTAGACAGAAAAATCTTAGTTACGCAAGGAAAAGATGCGCTCACAATTGTGAAGAAACAGAATCAGAGAATTCATCAATGCGGTCAGCTGATGCTGATGGTCACGTTCTGAACTATGACTAGCTGCAAGGCTGAAAGGAACAAAACTAGTGCTTTCCCACCCTGAGTCCACACCAGCCTCCTCTGCATGCCTCTGCTAGGGCAGCCACGTCCTCACAGACCTGAGAGAACTCTTCCTCCAGTCCTCCCCCACAGACCAGTGAGTGAGGCACACGGCATGAGGCACACGTCATGGTGGACTTCAGAAAAGTAGCCTTCCTCCATCCCCTCACTGCGCACCACTGAGCAAAGGTGTGCTCCGCTGACGCACTGCAGGGCTGAAGAGAATTAGCTCTTCTCCCTCCTCTGCCTTGTTACCAGAACCCACACCACCCTCGTGATCCTTCTTTAGGGCAGCCATGTCCTCACAGGCCTCAGAAACTCTCCTTCTTCCATGGCCCCACCCACGTTCCAGAGCATAAAGGCACGCTTGCATACATGAGGTGGAATTTGTGCATCAGGCACGCTCAGGCTTCAGCAATGGCTGTGGTGTTGCTCAGCAGCTCACAGCTCTCTGTACCTTGGTCAGGTCTCCACCAGGAACCACAGTGGAAGGCTGGTAATTGACACCAACCTTGAAGCCCATCGGGCACTAGCCCAGAAACCAGATGTTGTGTGTGGTCTCACTGGTGGCATTGACAGCGATGATGTCACCACAGTACAGCAGGCAGCAAGCCATGTGTTTACCATTGCAAGGGGCACACTTCACCTCTGGCTGGCTGGCACAAAGCAGGCATTGGTGATCTCTGCTACAGAGAGTTGCTTGTGGTAAGCTTCCTCAGCAGAGATGACAGAGGTGTATGTGTCCAGAGGGAAGTGGATGCAAGAATGGGGTACCAGGTTGGTCTGAAATTCTATCAGGTTAACAGAGCGCCATCAAACCTAAGGGAGGCAGTGATGGAAGACAGAATCTGGCTAACAAGGTGATTCAGGTTAGTGTAGGTTGGGCATTTCTCCAGCAGATGTCACAGATGGCCTCTGTCTACCATGAAGGCACCATCAGAGTGCTCCAGGGTAAGGATGGAGTCAAAGGGGTCAACCACAGCTATAGAACCTGAGGGGCTGGGTAAATGGAAAACTCCAGCTTGGACTTCTTGCCATAATAAACAGAGAGGTGACCAGAGCCAGTTCTTCCACCAACATTTCTGAAAATCAAGAAGTCCTGAAGACTCGTGCAGTGGTCAGCCTGTGAGCAGATAAAGTGTGATATTTTAATTCCAGCATGATTCCATTAAGTCCTGAACCGTATCCAGCTGATGTGAGGAGCATGAGGGATTGTATATGTGCATCTGTGTGTATGTGTGTGTGTGTGTGCATGTGTGTGTATGCACTTGGTTGTGTGACTGTAAACAAGAGCTAACAACTTTCTGAGGTTTCCCAAAACCTTCAACAGAAGGGAAAAGATGCCCCTTTCATATCAAAGTACTCTGAACTCTTGAGTAAGTCAGCACTTTCAGAAGCTTTGCTACTCAGAAGTAGCACTTTGGCTAGTGGACATACATATTTTCCTGGTTTTACTCACTTTCTCAAATCCAGTAGATGGTGCTACATGTCTGCCTATGCAGAATACAAGTGCCTTCCTTTCCTTCCTTTTGGCTCCAGAGCTTCAAGGTCTACAACTATAATAAAGACCATTATTCCCAACATCTGAGCCAAATCTCTGGGTGAAGCATTAGAGAGGCAATTGAGAAGACCACCACCCCAACCCGCACACACCCCAAAATAATTGTGGACCAAATATCAACCTAGCAATTCACTAACATCTTCCCTCCGTGGTCCCACACAGAGGTCCATCAGTCTATTGTGGACATCCAGAGGCAGAAGCGCAGTGTGTCGGACTACTCCAAACGCTGCTGCGGCCATTGTCATGAAGTAGCCAGAGATGACAGTAATTGTCAGTGAAAGTGTAAGATTGTAATGCATAAATCAGCTTGGAAATCCATCTTTTAAGAAGATAGTATACATTTTTAAAACTTGGGTACAAAAAATTTCAAAACATGAAGTCTGCTATTGAATCAGTGATTAAGCTAATCATATATAAGAATGTTTCTTTATGAATAATCAAATAACACAAGCTTTAGAAAAGTAGGACTGTAGGCATCGTAAATGAATCCCTATCTCCTAGCAACGTATAATTAATTTATGTTACTTATTGACTCTAAACACAACTAAGAAACATATAATTTAAATCAGAAGTTATCTATTTCACCTCCCACTCCCTGGCAGATTTGTAATATGTTATTATTTCACATACCCAAGATGTCTTTAGAGTGTCATTATATTGTAAATCAGGAACAAGGGCAGCATTGACTACTTAAAAAATTTAGACCACTTTCCTTACTGTATTTGCTGTATTTGATTTTTATTTCATTTTCTGTAATATGGTGTCTTCATTGAGTGATTCCACATTCTTTGAAAATTCTTTTACTCTTTTCATTGTATCAAAAAGGCTCACGCTGTCCACACTAATGAGTGCTAAGCAAGAGGCTGGTATTCACAACCCGCTCACCAGAGGCTTAATGAAACGGTTTATTCAGTGGACTATGCTCCTTTAAGGACTGCATTTTAATACAGACACAGGGAAACAGGAGCAACTTTTCACGTAACTGTTCTGTCATCTGTTCTTCTCTTCACCCATCTCTTCATTAAGTCTTTTACCATCCCATGAA